AAGAAAAAGGAAAGACTTTAGGTGACTAAAATCCCAAACTAACTCTTAGAAAACCCCAAAACAGAAGTATGAAAAATATGAAAAGGCTTGGGAACATGACACCAAAAAAAGATAACAAACACAACAAAGAATCTCAAAGATAATGAAAAGGATGAAACCTCAGTCTCTGAGCTCAAAAGAATGATGATAAGAATGACATAGAGGTTAAAAAAGACATGCAAAAATAAGTCAATGAAATTCAGGAGAATACTGGTAACTGTCTCAAGAAGTTACCAAAACAATTAAATTAACAAAAAAGAGAATATAAACAAATGTCACAATGAAATCTAAGAAGATACACAAAAATTGATAAATGAAATAAGGAATATAATACAGGTCATGACAGGGATTTCTTTAAAAAATCAAAGTTATGGAAATAAAAATCTCCTATGTTGAATAATAAATATATTTCAGAGTCAATCCAGCAGTTTGGAACACAAAATTTTTCAAAGGAAGAAGAATAAATAGACAAAAAACACACAAAGAAATGCCCAACATCACTGGTCATGAACAAAATGCATCTCCAAACCACAATACGGTTTCACTTCACTCCTCTTGAATGGTTATTATCAAGAACACAGATAACAAAAGATGTTAGTGAGGATATGGGGGAAAAGGAACCCTTGTACAATGTTGATGGAAATGTAAATTAGTTTGACCACTTTAGAAAGTGTTATGGAAGTACTTCAACAACTAAACATAGAACTGCCACAACATCCAGCAATATCACTCCTCATTATATGTCTGAATGAATGTAAGTCAGATTACAATAATGGCACTCTCACACCCATCTTTATTGAAGCATTGTTCATACTAGTCAGGCTATATAAACAGCTCAGATGTACTACAACTGATGAATGGATTAAGGAAATGTGAGGTATACATAAATATATAATAAATTGCACACATTATATGTATATATATAATGGAATATTATTCAGTCATAAAGAAGAATGAAAATTGTCATTCATAGGTAAATGGATTGAACTTAGAACATCATACAAAATGAAATAAGTTAGATTCAGAAAGACAAATGTCTCATATTTTTTCTCATATGTGGAAGATAGACCCAAATAAAAATGCAAGCAGTATCAAATATACAGAACATGTTTCTGATGATGCAGCTATAAGTGTATAATAAGGGAAGAAGAAAAAAATGATAAAAAGTCAACAATATTTAAATGCATTTCATCTGTGTAGGAAAAAGTCACAACCAAGTAGACTGAACACTGTTGTACAATACAGGATAGGGGAAAAGTGTAAGTAATAATAGTAGAAGGGGTTAGATTAGTTAAAGTTCAATGTATTTTCTTGTAAAATACTAAAGCACAACTCCACTGAAAACTGAACAGAAACTTGAAGAATGAAGGACAAGAATATAAAACAGGTCATATTAAGGGGAATTTACTACTGGGAGGGATAATGAAGAAAGTAAAGGAAGGCGAATATAATTAAGGTATTTTCTACATATGTTTCAATATAGAACATTGAAATCTGTTGAAATCATTTAAGCAGGGGGAGGGGGGAGAAGTAGAATAATTTAAGGGATAAACCAAACCAGGATACACTATATGTATATATGGAAATGTCACAAGACCTCCATAAACACTATTATATACTAATAAAACACCAAAAAAAATACATAACTATAGTCTTATGAAAATATTTCACAATGTTTAGAATGCTTAACAGTTAACTCATAATTTGTATATACTTCTCTCACATAATAATCATGACAACACCCATGTACAATTAAAAAGAAAAGGCTTATAGGTATGTGGAACAATCTGTCCAAATCCAGGAAGCTTCTAAGTGCCAGGACTTGCATTGATGCAGGCAATGGACACAGGATATTATATAATTATTACCTGTGTTATATTGTTATTGATATATAATGATAGCAAAACCCTCAGCTCCAATTCAGTTCTCTAAAGTTCTTTCATAACAGAGAACATCAGATTTTGTAGTGTAGTGCAGTGTGTGTGTGTTGAGAAATGAGAGAAAGAGAGAGAGAGAGAGAGGTCATCAGATCCATGTTCCTTAAAATATAAGATATATTAATTGAGGCCCTCAAAATTGCCCCATGTACTCTACAAATGAAGCTCATCTCATGTCCCTCACCTGAGAAGTTTACTATAACCCACAGATGACATTGCTTCTACCTGTTCAACTTCTGTCCATTCCTGGATTTTAATTAGGTCCTATTCATCTGTCCTCTGGAGAGCATTATTTGCCTGAAATTACCCTTAGGCAATCTACTAAGATCACTCTGTAATAAGAATTATGCTCCTAGAGTATTTGAAGGTGATTTATGAGTGGGTTCATCAACATTTTTATATATAATGAATATGATTGACCCGTTTAGAAAGTATAGGCAGGGTATTTTGTCTGTCTGCAGACATTGTCAAATCATATTTGCATTGGGAAATTTTGTTAAACCATCTTTAGTCCTTGGTTTGGAGACACTGACAAGAGGATATATTGCTATCATTTACATGTTTACAACCATCAGGAACAGTGAGTGCACAGTGATTATTGTCACTCCTTTGATTCATCATCATTCAAAGTAGAATTTCCCAATCTTTTCTTCATCTTTGGAATTTTGCTTTGGTTTTAGAAATTAAAAGGAAGTCTAGTTAAAAGTATGCCTATAAAATATTAGTGCAACAGACAAATCTATGCATTTTTTGTGAAGCAATTAGTGATTTAATTATAGAAATAATTCAAGCAGTAAATTAATAGTCAATTAGCTTAAGAAAATAGCAACAACATAGAAATTGTGATTATTTAATACCAGTTTCTATCATGTCGCATGTCACACAGTAGTAAGAGAGAATATGGTTGATTAATGTTTAACCCAAAAGCCAAAAGCATATCATTGTCTTTTTATGCCATCATAATTAATTCAAAATTTGTATTTACAAACAGCATGATATACTAAAGCACTTAGAAAATGCACAGAGAACTGTGCACGTAGTTTCAGAAAAGACATCAATGTTAAAACACTAATGATAAAGAAATTGAAATATTTGCATATTGAACATATATGTACAAGAGTTTAGATGCTTCTTTGGTTACAAGGCCTAGCTCGTCAATTGGGCCTGCAGATGCCAGGTGGGTAATTAAAATTTAGAAAACAGCTTGGTACCTCTTCCTCCATTTTGGACCTGTTTCTTTGATATGAGTCATTTTCTTCTCTTGTCACCATGGATTCAGGAAAAATAGGAATGGTTGTTAAACATCTTTTCATTATTTGAAAATAGCCACCATGAAATTGCAACTTTCTTAAACTTGACTACCAGCCCCAGCTGACCAATCATGAAATAATGATCTACCAGTCCAGAAGTTCACTAAGACTGCTTTAACATGCCTATTACTTTACCCCCTTTTTATTACTCTCTCAATTTAAACATGAAGCTCATTTCAGTATCTCCAGAGACAGGGCTCAGAACTCTGGTGCACTTGTCTTCCTGACCTAGCCATATCTTTATTCTTTTTCTGTTTGGTTTTGGGTAAGTGGCCTGACCTTGTAGTTGGTAAGCCTGGAATCAGCACTCTGGCTTTTGAGTCTGGCAACATTGTCTGTCTGTCATCTACCTATCTATGTATCTATCTATCTAAATAAACATTTAAATGGACATTTGTATATTTCTCTAGTTCTGATTATGATTATTGACTCAGTCTTTATGAAGAAAATTTGCTTTTGAATGATTTTATGTGAAAAAAGAAAATCAATGACAACTGAAGCATCCAGATCATAATTTGGACAGGTGAACAAAAGATTTTCTCAGTGATGTTCAGCCAATTCACAGTAGTTATAGGACAGTTGTTTAGGTTACTTTAGCAAGATAAACAGTAGATAGTTCAGGGTAAGAAAACAAGCTTCTGTTACTCTGTGCTATCTTCCAAGATTTAAATGCATGTCTCACATTTTTATTTAAAAGACTTGCTTGTTTTTCTTTTTGCTGCTTTAGTTTACTTTATCTAGATATGATTGATATAACTAAAATGTATAAATTTGATATAAACACTAAAACCAACTTGGACCCAAAACCTTCCAACAACCACTACATCCTTCTCTGCTTCTATGAGTGCTATGATGAAGATTTGTCCTCATTTCTGTGGTTTATTTAACTTAGCATGATGTGGTTCAGGCTTACCAATCACTAGGTTTTATATGTCTGTTAAAACACATTTAACTAGGAGCTGGTAATCCTAGCAACTCAGAAAGCAGAAATCAGGAGGATAGAGGTTCCAAGGCAGTCCACGCAAATTGTTCCGCAAGATTCTATCTGGAAAAACCCTTGACAAAAACAGAGCTGGTGGAATGGGTCAAGTGCCAGTATGGCATGAAAAAAACACGTTTAATTTGCAATATGATATTTTTTTAGTGATAAAACCTACTTTCATTTACTTTGCTGAGTCAAAGGGTCACAAAAAAATTATTGCTAAAGTAGATATCAGGCAAACAGAAAGGAGCTTTTGAAGTCCAGTTACCTTGGAGTTTATTTAAACTAGGAGGAAAAGGTCATAAAGTTTTCATGCAATGCATACTTGGTTCTTTAAACAAAAGTTGTTATGAACAGCAGAAAGAATTACAGTATGCTACATTGTGATATATATAAAACACCAACATCTTGGGTTGTACAAAATAAAGAAATACCTCAATTTTTGAAATACTGTAAGAGCCAATACATAGAGGTATGCCTTAAGTGGGCATAGGAATACTGTTTAGAAAAGCAGGAAAACAAACCCACACTGGAACTACTTAATTTTCTTAAAGTCACTGGGCAAGAAAAGCAACATTGAACTTCCTTATTGATTTTACACAACTGTACAGTACCTTGACTTAAAATCCAAGAGCAAAAGTTAAGACTCTCCTCTATTTTTGGTAAACAAGTGCATGTTAAACTTAGATGACTTTCCTCTGGATTTTACCTGGGAGTGGTCTTTTTAATATTTTATTTAAAAGAGGGCAGGTTTGGTGCTTTTATACTGATATCATCAATGTTAATATTTCTTGGGATCTCAGGAAGATTCATATCATTTACAGCTGATACAGCAAGGGCTGGAGCTCCCGCTAAGCCAGCCTCAGATTTCTCTACTTTATTCTGCACATCGATTTGTGTAACAATCTCATTCACTTTGGTCTTCAATACCATTCCCCACATCACCATTTCCGCTAAAATATTGTGAACCTTGTCTACATGGAATATTAAATCCAGTTCACAGAGATTTTCAAAACATTTGTCTACTTGTTTTAGATATAAAATTAGATATAAAATGCCAAGTTCACTTTCTGAAGAATCCACATAGAAGACAAAATACAGTGGTGCATGTCTATAAATCAGTTTGTTCTCCGAGCCTCCAATTAACAATCCTTCTAGGAAATTACAAACATTTTAATCTCTCTTAAATACCAAATGGAAAGTCTCCTTGATGATTTGCTGCTGTGTGTCTTCACTGTAGTGCTGGTAGAACTTGGAGAGCCACAGCTTCCTGTGGTTGGTGAAGAAGAGGATAGCCTTAATCATGGCTGGGCTGGGCTGACTGGGTTGAGGACCTCAAGTATCTCTTGAGTTTCTGCTCTTTGGATAAAATGTAGGAAGTGAGATATGTTGGGTCATAGGTCAGGTCTATTATTAACATTTTTCAGGAACATCCACAATGAGGAATATAACAGTTCCATAAATTTAAATTTCCACCTTATATTTTCTTCTTGGAGTCTTACAGTTTTAAGTCTTTTAGTTAAGTGTTGAAGCCATCAGAACATGACCTTGGTGTAAAGGTATAAGATAAAGTATTAATTTCATTCAGTTTTCCTGATGCCATTCTTTGAAGAGATAGTTCCTTCCTTAATATCCTGTTCACATTCTTGACACTTTTGAGAAATATTACTTAACCTCATATTCAGGAATCTGTATCTATTGTTGTACATATCTTTTTGTATGGTAATAACCTTACTGGTTTAATCCATACCATACTGTAACACTTTTTAGGAGTCAGGAAATACGATGCTTTCATTTCTGTCACATCTTTTTGAAAGTGTTGACTTTTGGGTTTTTGTATGTCTATAATGATTTTCAGATTTTTCTGTTTATATAAAAAAACTTTAATTTTTTATTGGTGCATCATTAAATATAAAGACTATTTCCTTTGGTCTTTTTAAACAGTATTGAGTCTTCAAATCCATTGACGGGAAATTTTTCTGCTTATCTGTGTTTTATTTGTTCTTTTTTTGTTGTTATAGTTTTCAGTGTACAAATATTTCATTTCCTTGATTAAATTTATCCATTAGTATTTTTTATTTTTAATGTTATGTCTTGCATGGATATTTCATGTTAATTTATAGAATGACCTCATATTGTGCATGTTAAATTTTGTTATCAATTTTGCTAATTGATTTTATTTTTAAATATAAAAATTTGAAAAATTATATATTCTATATGTAAAAGCATGTTTGTATGCAAATACAAATCATTTTCTGTTATTTTTTTATATTTTTCTTGCCTAATTGCTTTGGGAAGGATATCTAGTGTTATTTTGAATAGAAGTCTTTTCTTCCAGATCTTTGAGGAGAACTTTTATTTTTTGGCATTACATATAATGTTAATGTGTGATTTTCATAAATGCTTTTTTTGTGTTTAAGTTCCTTGTAAATCTACTTTGTTGAAGATTTATATTATGAAAGGTAGTTGGCTTATGAAATTATTTTTGTGCATGTATTGACATTACTGATTTTTTTCTATTTTTCTATACATTCATGTATGAATTACATTAATTGGTTTATGTTGAGCCATCTTCTCTAGCTAAGACAAATTCACTACGTCAAGGTACTTGATGCTTTTACTGTGCTGACGTTTGTGGTTTGCTAATATTGTATTCAGGAATTTTGTGCCTACGTTTCATAAGAATATCAACCTTTATTTTATTTTTCTTTGCTTTTGCTTGCTTATGGTAACTGGGTTGTGTTGATTTCACTAAAATTAGTAGAGAAACTTAAGCACAATATCAGTTTTTGGAAGAGTTTGAAATATTGGTATTAGTTTGTCTAATGTTTACAGGAATCTTTATACGAAGCCATCTTCTTCTGGTTGTTTTTTCATTATAAAGTCAATATTTTAATGTTATTTTTTTGTCTTAGTTAACTTTTTGTATGTAGTCTAAATGATTTTTATTTCTAAAAATTAATTCATTCTTACTTTCATTCAATTTACTGATATAATTATTTATTTGAGCCCCTTGTGACCTTTTATTTCTATGGCAAAATTTACAGTGTTGTAGTGTTTCCTCTTCTAATTTTATTTTTGTGTTTTTTCTCAATTATTCTTCATAATATTTGGTCTATTTTTTAACTTTTCAATAACCACTTGTCTTGTTAAATTGCCAAACCTATCTATTTTCAATTTTATTTTCTTTCTCTAATTATTATTTCCTTGTTTTCTAGTTGTTTGAAGTAATGTTTACTTTGTCTATTTGAGATCTTCCTTCTTTTGCTTATGTATGAATTGCTGTTAAAATTCCCTTCTTTTACTACATTGTTCTGTCTCTTACAAACTTGATACAGAATTTTTCCTTTTCTTTTTTTCCCTTGGCCTTCATATATTTTCCAACTTTCTTCTTAACTCTATTATTTACTTACTTATAATTGGATATAAATTTCCATGTATTTGTAAATTTTTGCATTTGCTTTTGTTGTTGACTACTATATTCTTCATAATGTAGTTGGAAAAAAACTTGGAGTATTTGTATCTTTTTAAATTAATTAAGACTTTTGATATCATTTACTGGCAGAACCTGGGTGACCTAAGCTAGAAGAGATGAGGGGACTAATGAGTCCTGCTCAATAGCCATTTTAATGAAGTATACATTGTTTTTTATAAACTCCTTTTACACAGAGAGCATTTGGTCAGAAAAAACATGCCAAGTATTATGTGTCAAGGTTACATTAGTATAAGGAAGCACAGTTAAAATTAACTCTTTGTTATGTCTCCTTTAAAACAGGAACAGAGAAGCAGGAGAAGCACATGGTCAACATAATTTCTTATTTACATCTGTAGGACATGAAACCATCTGGGAACCTTGAATACTGTTTTTCTGGATGTCTGGCTTCCTCACAAGGCCAGATACCAACTCACACAGTCACAGTCTGGTCTGAGATTTTACCTCAGTTGCTTGGACCTTTCTCACAAAGCCATGTACCTCACACAGGCAAGGTCCCATTGCTGGCTCTGACAAAGACTTTTTGCACAATATTGTCTAAATCTATTCAGAAGAATGTTCCATGTGCTCTTAAAATTCTTATTCTCCTTTAGTGAAATATCCTGTATATTATTGTTAGACACATTTGAGTGAAGTGTCAAGCCTACTCTTTCTTTACTAGTTTTCCATCTGGATTACCAGTGACTATTGAAATTATTTATTACTCTTTTATTGTTATCATTCCACCCATCAAATGTCTCAGTCTTTGCTCTTTATGTGTAGATGCTGTTTCTTGATGAGTATATACTTATAATAATTCTCATTTATTCTTTTTTAAATTGAGCATTTTATCATTTTCAAGAGCTTCTTTGTCACTACTGACAGTTGTTGACTTAAGGTATATTTTGTTTGAAATAAGCAAAACATTTCCTGGCCTCTTAGATTGTCATTTACATGGAATGTCTTTTTTTCATCCCTTCACTTTTCAGAGAGTGTGTTTAGTTAGTTAAATTTAACAGTCCTTTATATATGGCACATGGCTGTATCTTGTTTTGATTAACTGTTCAATAACTGTAGTTTTCATTCACGACCTAAATCCATTTAGTTTAAAATAATTATTGCCAGTTGAATACTTATTTTTGACATTTTGTTAATTGTTTGATCTGATAATCATTTCTCAATTATGTTTTCCAGTTTGATGATTTTTATAGTTTTAAACTTCAAAACTTTTCCCTTTATATGTTTTCTTGTCAATTACAGTTTGTGTATGTGGTTATCCTGATGATCACATAAAACTTAGAATTTTTTTTAGCAGTACTGGGGTTTTGAACTCAGGACTTGGCTTGTGTTATGTAGGTTTTCTACCCCTTGAGCCCTTTATACTCTGGTTATTTTGAAGATAGACTCTTGCTTTTCATTTTTATGACCTGGTTATCTTCAAACTGCATTCTTCCCAGTCTCAGTCTCTGGCACAGTTTGGGCTGACAGGTGTGTACCACTTAGCACACCTATCATTAACTTGGAGTCTCACAAACTATTTTCCCTGGTTGGCATTGAACTGTGATCTTCTCAATATTAGCCTCCCAAGAATCTAGGATTGGAAGCATGGACCACTGGCACCTGGGCTTGCATAAAACCCTTTTAAAATTATAAAAGTCTTTATTAAGATGATAACTCATCTGAAATTGCATACAAATACTCTGCATTATAATTCCCTACAATTTATTTATTGGTATTAGAATACACTTATTTTGTATTGTACATTGATTGACACTATTTTGTGAAAATTTCATCAATTCTTCTCCTTTTATTTTTTTTTTAAGTACTGGGATTTGAAGTCATGGTCTCATTCCCTGCACATCTTGCTTTAGTTATTTATCAGATAGGATCTTGCACTGTTGTCTAGGGCTGGCCTTGGATATCACACTTTTGCACCACCATGCCTACTTTGTTCTTTGCTATAGTCTTGCTAACTTTTTGTCTGGGTTGGTCTCAAACTCCATTTTTCCTGATTTACCCCTCCCAAGTATCTGAGCGTACACCCACCATATGGCTGCATTTCAATTATTGCCATAGGATTAAAAGTTTTACATGCTAATATTGCAATATTATACTAGTATTTAAGTTGCTGATATAATTACATTTACCTGTGTTATTTCTAGTTTATAAGTTATTATTGTTTCGTGGTATTGCTGTTTGAACTCAGGGTCTCATGCTTACTAGGCAGGTGGTCTACTTCTTCAGTCATGCCTCCAGCCATTTTTGCTACAGATATTTTGGTGATTAAATCTCACTTTTGCTTCTGCTGCCTTAACCAAAATTTTCCTATTTCTGCTTCCTCCTAGAGCTGGGATGACAGGTGTGTACCAACACACCCAGCATTTTTCTGTTGAAACAGGGTCTCCAAAACTTTTTTGCCCATGATGGGATTCCTGATCTCAAGCTTCCAAGTAGGTAGAATGATGAGCATGAACCACTAATGCCCTGCTCATATGTTTTGTTTATTTATTATATATCTTTTTACTTACTTTTGTGGTTCAACAATCTTTCATTTCACCTTGGACAACTCCTTTTAGTTCTTCTCAGAAGGCAGATCTAGTGGATCAGCTGACATTCCTATGAAGGACAGGCCTGGTGTTTGGTGGCTGTGATTGAGTGGGGCCTTACTTTTTGACAATATGGGGGATTGAACTCATTGCCTCATGCTTGTTAAGTAAGTGCTGTAGTACTGAGCAATGTCCTCTGTACTTTTGTTTTTACTATATTTTTCAGTCTTACACTTTTTCCTAAACCATTGTCAGATATTAGTCCTTCAACAAATATCTCTTGCAAT